GGAAGTCTTCGCGATGGGCTGAGCAATTGAGGATGGGGTCTTTCACGGAAGGTTTGGCAGTAGTTAGTACAGGCAAAGACAACCAGTGAGAGACCGGGAGAAAGGTTTAGGACAAAATAAAGAAAGAAAAAGCTGGTCTGCGTTCCTGTGATCCTCCTTAAACAGATTTCAGCAAATCCAGCAACACTTGGCACGTATTCATTTTAGGAAGCCTATTTTTACCTGGAAGTTTCTAACTGCTGGTTCCCAAATCATCCCACGTCCCACTAACAGAACAAAGTGCATTTAATGAATATGTCACCAAAGAACCAGGCCAGGGTGGGGGCTGGGGGGGGGGGGTTAAGGAACTGTCTTCACAGTGAAGTCTGAGAAACTGCATGTGCTACAGAGTTGGAGGCAGACAGAGATCTTCATGAAAACATCCTGGAGAAGTCAGGACGCCCGAGAGCTAGGCGCACAGCAAAATTTACAAAGGCAAAGGCAGGGGATTTTAACTAGGACCACCAACAATTTTTAAGCCTAAAACACCTCCTTCCCCCCTGATTTATGAATATAGAAACCAGCCATGAGCAGCCAAACAGCAATCCCGGAAGGCCCAGGAAAGACGCCCTTAGCAGGGGCGGGGCTGGAGTTGAGGCTTTGCAGGAAGCAGCACCAGGTTCAATCCCTAGTACCACATGACACCCTGGGCACCACTAGGAGCAGCTCCCAAGCACCCCTTCGTCCCCCTCCCAAAAAAAAGGTGAGGACCGCCAAAAGGGAAAGGGGCAGAGCTGAGGAACATTCTGGATACCATGCCAAAGGCTACTTGCTCCGAAAGATAAGGCATCCTCCCGTTCTTCCACCCCGCAATTCATGCGCCAGCCCCTGTATGAGGCTCCCACATACAGGAGGCCTGGTATCAGTTTCACGGGGTGTAGTGCTCACCACCTGCCAAAGGGTGAATGAAAACAGGCCTCACGGATAGAGAACAAACAGCAGGTCTCCCAACGCCTGTAGGTGCGCCGAGTTCACTGAGCACAGCACGGAAACCCTGCCAGACAGCGAACCTATCAGTTCTGTCCCGTGTTCTCTGGTTTGGTTCCACAGTTTCCAGGATACAGCGGGTCGGGCTCAGGGGTGGTACTCTATGCAGTACTCAGGGGCTTCTGTTCCCCAGTGAAGTCGATGGTTCCTCCCGCCCCCAGGAGTCCAGAGCCAAGAATAACAAGCCCCAAGGTTCTCTGGGTGTGCACCCACCAAAAAAAAAAAAAAACCTCAAACAGCAAGAACCACCTGCCCCCAAAGGGGAAGAAGCAGGTAGCTAATACCAACGAAGTTAAGGAAAGTTGGAGGACTGGGAAAGGAAATAAAAATGGGTTAAATAAAGCAGGAGGACGCTAGTAAATAAACCTAGAGGTTCCCGGCCCAGACAGCTACCAGCCAGCAAAAATAACCAAGTGAGGGGCTGGAGCAATTGCACAGCGGGTAGGGCGTTTGCCTTGCACACGGCCGACCCGGGTTCGATTCCCAGCATCCCATAAGGTCCCCCGAGCACCGCCAGAAGTGATTCCTGAGTGCAGAGCCAGGAGTAACCCCTGAGCATCGCTGGGTGTGACCCCCCCAAAAAATAAATAAATAACCGAGGTGCAGGGTGGGGACTTTAAGGCCAGAGATGAGGTTTAAAGAACTGGGTTAGATTCCTGGGTTTGATTTTGGGCACTACAAGGCCCCCAAACAATGCCATACTACCTTCCAACACCTCCAAACTATATATATATATATATATATATATATATATATATGTGATAGCATAGCAGGTAGGCCATTTGCCTTGCACGTGGCCGACCCAGGTTCGATTATTCTGTCCCTCTCGGAGAGCCCGGCAAGCTACCGAGAGTATCCCACCCGCACGGCAAAGCCTAGCAAGCTCCCCGTAGCTTCTTCGATATGCCAAAAACAGTAACAGCAAGTTTCACAATTTGTTGTGAGACGTTAACTGGTGCCTGCTCCAGCAAATCAATGAACAACGGGAGGACAGTGCTAAAAATGCAGTTTTAAAAATTAATATTAATAACCATCATCAATAATTAATGCATTATTAATTTGTGAAATTAATAATGTGAAAAGATGCGCGACATCTTTTCAAAACTTTTTTTTTATGACATCTTATTGTCTTATTCCTACTTTGGACAAACTTGCAGGCTATCGAATGTAGCCTGTCCACAGGGCAGAGTCTGGCAAACTCCCCGTGGCGTACCAAATATGCCAAATACCAGTAACAATGATGGGTCTCATTCTCCTAAATAGCCTTGAATATAATCTCAGGGCTAGGATGAAAGAGACGTTACTGGGGCCTGCTCGAGGCAATCGACGAATAACAGGATGATGAAATGAAATGAAATGAAATGAATTTGTGAAATTAATGAAAAGTTTGTGAGGTTTTTTTTGTCGTTGTTGTTTTTTTCTTAAAGAGTGACAAAATTAAGACACCAAGGGCCGGACGCAGGGTCCTGCCCCGAGCCCCACCGGGGGTCGCCTCGGTGCAGTGTCCAAGCGGGTCCCCCTCCAAGACCCCCCTGCTGGGCGCCGCAGACCCTCACAGTCCCCACCTGCATCCACAGCCTGCCGCGGTGAGCGAGGAACGAGAATCACAGCAGACACAGTTAGGGGGGACGGTGTCCGGACACTCCACCAAGGCACGAGGTGACACCTGGGAGGGACCTGCAGGTGCTGGCGCGGGCGTGTCCCTTTGGGCCTTGAATGATGTTTGTCGGGAGGCCCGTTACTGACTGCACTGGGCCCGTTTTGCGCTGCACTCGGACCGTTACTCTCTGCACACGGCCCGCTACTCGCTGCACTCGGACCGTTACTCGCTGCACACGGCCCGCTACTCGCTGCACTCGGTTCACACTCGCACGGGCTGCTCAGTTCTCGCGGGAAGCAGGTGCACTCGCGAGATCTCCCCGTGCTACCTGCAAGTTGGAACAATTTTGTTCATTTTTTTTCCCCTTATGCAGAGCGTTGGGCAATGCCCAGAGCTGCTCAGGGCCTCGCTGTTGGCTGGGCGGCCCAGGAAGCAGCTCCAAGGCCGGGCCTAGCTCTCCGGCCCCCTGGTGTGCAGTTAGTTCAAAGCAATAACAGCCCTAATTTTTGCCATTTTCCAGGAAAGCACACCCAGGGCCTCCCCGCATTTCACGCTGGGTGGGTGCAGCGTCTCCCTGAGGCCCTTGTGGACAGTTTTCTTGGCTTCTCGGGAATCTGCTGAAGGTGGCACCCGAGAAGGGAAGGAGCAGACGGCAGGCCCCCACCAGGGGCTCTGCACCCCCAGCCTTGATGGGCAGACGGCTGAACTCAGGAGCAAGAAATGCAGGAGCCTAAATCCCACTCCCAGCATGATGGCCATTAGTCCCTGCAACGTTCTGGGCCACTTCCTGGGCTCCCCCAGCCCTGCCTTGGTGGGCTGAGTCACTTGCAGTGAGACTGTGTTTTTTTTTTTCCTTTTTGGGTCACACCTGGCGATGCACAGGGGTTACTCCTGGTTCTGCACTCAGGAATCACCCCTGGCAGTGCTCAAGGGACCATATGGGATGCTGGGAATCGAACCCAGGTCGGCCGCATGCAAGGCAAAAGTCCTACCCGCTATGCTATTGCTCCAACCCTGAGACTGTGCTTCTTGACCCTAGGCAGCGGCGTCCCTGTTCTGGAATGAAACACCCCTAGCGAAGGTCAGGCAGTAAATGTGGCAGAGAGCAGAGAGAGGCCTCTTGTTTTGCATGAGGCAGACCCTGGGTCCCATCCCCGGTACTCAACCAGGAATAATCCTGGAGCACTGCCTGGTGTGGCTCAAACCCCACCCCCAAAGTTATGAAAATGAGTTCGAGAGGGCAGAAGCTTGGGTGCTTACCACCCCCTGCATGTGGCCGATCCATGTTTGATCCAAGCACAGAGCCAGGAGTGGCCCCTCCCCTCCCCACCTATCCCTCCACCAAGTAGAGGTTTGTGTGTTGGTGATGGCAAGGTGAAATGGTGCAAGAAAATAGTTGGATGCGCCTCAAAACAACTGGACGGTACTTACAGTTCCACTTCTGAGAACCCGAAAGAAGAGGAAGCAACCCTGTAGGGTGACGCATCCCTGCTGCCTCATCAAAGAGCTACCCTGTGAGCTACGGCGACATGAATTCAAAATATTCTGCATGCGGGGACAATGCTCTTTATAGATATTTACCGTGACTGCACGGCCATTCGCATTTAAAATGGACCGAGGTGCCAAGGAGCTGGAATATCTGAAAGAGCCCAGATTTTGGTTCCTTTACTGTGCCTGAAGATCTGTCACCTTGGTTCTCTGCCAGGCGCCAGATGTTACACGGCAGAACCAACTCCGAGACAAGGCAGCAAAGATCAGGTGGTTCGCAATTCTGATTCCTTTGTTGAGGGAGAGACGCACAGGCAAGAACACAAAAGCGTTGTCATGCCACCAGGAAGTGTTTATTATTATTATTCTTCATGAATGGTCATGAAGACTTACAAGGCCATTATCCGGATAACTACACAGACACACCAAGGCTCAGTGACATGGAGTGTAAATGACGGAGTTTTGGGTATATTAAAAAAATACATAGGCGCATTCTCTCAGGAGCCACAGAGAGCAGGGGCCCCCGAGCTGCGGGAGTTACAACACATGGAAACTGTTCAAAGATCTCAAGCATAAAAACTACATGGAAGTTGCAAAAATAAAGTCTCTTTCTTCAAACATTTCGATCTGAGCTCAAGCAAAGCAGATAATGAACACCAATGATTTTCAAACCATGTAATTGACTTTTAAAACATAAAAGTGTCAATACTTGCCCCCCAAAAAGTTCTAAAAAGGAAAAGGTCATAGAGATTAACAATGCATTTCTCTCCTCTTCTCTCTTCTCTCTCTCTCTCTCTCTCACACACACACACACACACACACACACACACACACACACACACACACACTCTCTCCCCACCCCTCAAAGGGGAAAAAAAACTCAGAAAACAAAAATACCTCAACAATAAAACTTAAAAAAAAACTCTACAGCAGATCCATTCTGTCCTGGCTCTCAAACAGTCACGACTCATAATTTACTATATTCAAATAGAAAGTAAAGTCAGGACATACAAAATGATAAGAGGAAAAATCATCACTTCAAACAAGGCATTATTATTATTATCCTTAGTTTCTTTAGACAATTTCACGAGTGCAAGAGCATTATTTACCTGAAAGATCTGAGTCACAATTAAAGAGCACGCAATACAAAACTATTTCTTTTGTTTTTTTTTTTTAAAAAAGTGCCACATACTATATATACTTTCCGTTAAAAAAAAAAAATTACAGACACAGACTAATGAAAGACAGTTTGTCTCCATCTCTTGTCGATGAGGAAAGGCCAGAGAGATTCCTTGATTCCAATTCGAAACGGTGTCCGCTGGCCAATGCCCAAAGTCTCCAATTTGGAGCAGTCAAGCTGAGCATTTCTTGGACGTTGTGCTCCTAGGACAGGACTGTCGGTTATCTTAAAGGGGAAAAAAAAAAAAACAAAACAGAAAAGCGACAATCAAAAATAAATGAACAGCCACACGCCAAGGTGTCATATTCTCTTACTTAGGCAGTAAGTTTCATTAGCATCTCCCTGGAGAAAAGAGAAAACCAACCCTAACCACTGTAAGGAGACCATTCCATTGGTAAAGGAGCAAGCATGGTAACTGCCCAGTAGCTGTATTGCAAATCATAATGCACGAGAGGAGAGAGAGGGAAGAGAGAGGGGAGAGGAGAGGGGCGGAGGGGAGGGGGAGAGAGAAGAGAGGAGAGAAAAGAGGGGAGCGAGTGAGAAAGAAGTAGCTGCCAGAGGCTGGAGCGATAGCACAGCGGGCAGGGCATTTGCCTTGCACACGGTCAACCCGTGTTCGATTTCCAGCATCCCATATGGTCCCCCTGAGCACCGCCAGGGGGTAATTCCTGAGTGCATGAGCCGGGTATGACCCAAAAAGAAAAAAGGAAAAAAAAAGAAGTACCTGCCACAGAGGCAGGCTGGGGTGGGGGGGGGGGGGGGGGAGGGAGCGGGTGGCGGGAAGGGAACTGGAATCATTGGTGGTAGGAAATGAACACTGGTGGAGGGATGGGTGTTGGATCATTGTTAAGACAACCCCGATCATGAACGACTTTGTATCTCTCTGTGATGCAGTAAAAAATATGGTAATAATGATAAAAAATCTAATCTAGGGGCTGGAGAGATAGCACAGCGGGTAGGGCGTTTCCCTTGCACGCGGCCGACCACGGTTCAATTCCCAGCATCCCATATGATCCCGAGCACCGCCAGGAGTAACTCCTGAGTGCAGAACCGGGAGTAACCCCTGTGCACTGTCAGGTGTGACCCAAAAAGCAAAAACAAAATCTAATCTGGAATGGAGACGTTATTGGTGCCCAATCGAGCAACTCAATGAACAATGGGATGACAGTGATATAGTGGGGAAAAAGTATTCTACTTCGTCCTCTATAAAGCTTCCATTAGAATGCGTGAACTTCCGTGAACATCATTGAGAGACAAGATCAACCTGCAAACTGCTAGTTCTGGAAAAGCAAACTTGCTACTAGCCGAGAGCGGGAAAGGGAGTTTTCTGACGCTGCTAGTGCAATGAGAACGTCGCCAAGGGCATCCTTAGGTGATTGTTGCCCTTCCCAGCAGGAAGGGGAGGGACAAAGGGCACATGCTTACAGGTCGCAAATGACTGCTGGGGAGGTTGAAAGCGTCCGCAATCGCGCAGGCCATTTCGTACTTGGTCATCTGTTCGTTGCCAGACCAGTGAAAGGTCCCCTTAATGGACGGGTCCTGCCAAAGACACACAAACACACGTGTCGACAGTTGGCGAGAGAACAGCAAGCAGCTCGGGCAAGAGAGATCTTTCAGAAACGTCCCTGGAAACTGGAAAAAGTCACCGGATTTCAGTTTAACAACTCAGGTGTGAATTCAGAAATCCAATGCTTACGATGATTCTCAGCGAAATACAAAGGGAGACGGCGGTCATTACCAACGATGCTCAGGGTTTACTCTGGACTCTTAGTTCTACACTCAGAATGACCCTGGCAGTCCTCGGGGGACCCTACAGGATGCCGGGGACGAAAGCCTGGTCAGCTGCATGCAAGGCAAGCGCCCTACCCACTGTTCTATCTCTCTGGCCCGCCTTAAGAATCTTTTAAGGGGGGCCAGAGCGATAGCACAGTGGGTAGGGCATCTGCCTTGCACGTGGCCAACCTGGGTTCGATCCCCGACAACCCACATGGTCTCCCAAGCACCGCCAGGAGTAATTCCTGAGTGCAGAGCCAGGAGTAACCCTGAGCATCGCCAGGTGTGACACCCCCCAAAAAAGAATCTTTTAAGGGACTGGAGCGATAGTACAGCGGGTAGGGCGTCTGCCTTGCATGCGGCCGACCCAGGTTCAATTACCAGCATCCCACATGGTCCCCTGAATATCGGCAGGAGTTAATTCTTGAGTATAAAGCCAGGAGTAACCCCTGTGATTGCTGGGTGTGACCCAAAAAGAAAAAAAAAAGCATCCTTTTTTTTTAAACTATCTTTTAAAATTAAAAAAACTCCGACTTTCTTTCATCAGTGAGTGGCATGGGAATCCTAAAAGTCACCAGAGATTTGATAAAAGCACAGTTCAGCCAGACAAGTGTTTCTCATTCTCCCGAACAGCTGGAGGGGGCTGGAGAGACAGCCCAGGAGTTAGGATGCTGGCCCTGATACTGCCAAGAGTGTGACCCAGAGCATAGCCAGTCAGTGGCAACCTCCACACCACTAGGTGTGGCCCAACCTGACCCACACTGTCCCCCCCAAAACCCCTCAGAAGCTGAAAGCAAAACTTAATGGAGCCACTTCACAAGTGTGAGCTAGTTCTAATATTCATGGACATATTTAAGAATGTTTAAAAATAAATTTATGTTATTCTTAAAAATTCTAGGCTGGAGCGATAGCACGGCGGTAGGGCGTTTGCCTTGCACGCAGCCAACATGGCCAACCCGAGTTCGATTCCTCCGCCCCTCTCGGAGAGCTAGGCAAGCTACCGAGAGTATCTCGCCCGCACGGCAGAGCCTGGCAAGCTCCTCGTGATGTATTCGATATGCCAAACACAGTAACAACAAAGTCTCCAATGGAGAGATTACTGGAACCCCTCGAGCAAATTGATGAACAATGGGAGGACAGTGATACAGTGATTTAAAAATTCTATGAAAATCATATACTCTGAGTCTCCTAATCTCTCACTATATATGTTCCATTTGGTTCGCTTACACATTTTTAAATTTCTGATTCAGGCATTTGAAAAAATACAATATTAAAAATATTAACTCACGAAGTGACTAAAAGCAAAAGAAAAAAAAAATTTCCACACCGACTTTTCTCAGGCATTACCTAGATCTTAAGAGACACTTTCGAAAAACTAGTAGGCCAGGGACCAATAAGACAGTAGAGCAAGGAGGGAGTTTGCCTGGCATGCAGCTGACTAAGCAAATCAGCTGACTAAAAGGTTTGTTTGATTACTCAGCATCGCATATGGTCCCAAGCCTGACCAAGAGTGATCCTTCAGTGCAGAGCCAGGGCTTAAGCATTGAGAATCGACGGCTATGTCACAAAAATAAAAATTACAGCTCAAAAAAAAAAAATTTCATTAAAAAAGTTATTATGGGGCCAGAGCAATGATACAATAGTAGGTGTTTTCTTTGCATGAGGCCAACCCAGGTTTGATCCCTGGCAAGCGATATGGTCCCTGGAACACCTCCAGGAGTCAACTCCTGAGTGCAGCACCAGGAGCAACCCCTGACCATTACTATGTGTAATTAAAAACAGGGGAGAGAAAAAAAAATTATTATTGAAAAGTGATTAGGACACCCACTGTCACTGTCCTCCCGTTGTTCGATTTTTGCTCGAGTGGGCCCAGTAACATCTCCATTGTGACATGTTACTGTGTCTGGCATATCGAATACGTCATGGGTAGCTTGCCAGGCTTTGTTGTGCGGGCAAGATACTCTCGGTAGCTTGCCAGGCTCTACGAGAGGGGCGGAGGAATCAAATGCCCTACCTGCTGTGCTATCGCTACAGCACAGGACACACACTAGAAAAAAAAAATAAATAAAAGCTTCCGGTCATCTTGTCATTTTTTTCTTTTAAGGTTCTGGGTCACACTCCTGGCCCTGCACTCAGGAATCACTCCTGGCAGTGCTTGGCGGACCGTAAGGGATGCGGGGGTAGAACCTGGGCTAGCTGCATGCAGGGCAAGCACCTCACCTGCTGAACGAACTCTCCAGCCCATGATCTTGTGTTTAAAAAAAAAGGGGGGGGGCTGGAGAGATAGCACAGCAGGTAGGGCGTTAGCCTTGCACGCGGCCAACCCGGGTTCGATTCCCAGCATCCCATAGGGTCCCCTGAGCACCGCCAGGAGTAAGTCCTGAGTGCAGAGCCAGGAGCAACCCCTGTGCTTCGCCAGGTGTGACCCAAAAAGCAAAAAGCCAAAAAAAAAAAAAAAAAAAAAAACCAAAGAAAGAAAACCAACGCGGTGCGTCCTGTCTGAGAAATAAACTCAAACCCAAATGCCACGTCCCTCCCAGGGCGCCACTCAGGCCCCCCCCACCCCCAGCCTGGCCCAAGGCGACCCAATTCTCACCAGCATCCTCTTCTCGGCCAGCTGCCGGCACACGCTGGCCACGTCCTTGACGTGCGTGGGGAAGCGCTGCTGCCAGTGGTCCATGTTGGCCGACTTGTTGCTGAACTGGACCTTGTCGAACATGACGGTCACGGCACTCTCCTCCAGCTTCTCCACCTCGCCGTACAGGACCGGGATCCGCAGGACCGCAGCTCCTGCAGCAACGGAGGCGGGGTCGGGGTTCGAGTGGGGATCGCCCAGCTCGGAGAATCTTCACTCGTGACAGTTCCCAATTGAGTCTATTCCCCCCCAACATGCTCCGCGGAGAGGAGTTTTGTCTGATCAGCACAGACACCCCTGCACGCAGGCACACATCTAACACAAAACCAACCTAGCAGTGCTGGAGCGATAGTACAGTGGGGTAGGGCATTTGCCTTGCACGTGGCCGACCTGGGTTCGATTCCCAGGATCCCACAGGATTCCCCGAGCACCGCCAGGAGTAATTCCTGAGTGTAGAGCCAGGAGTGACCCCTGAGCGCCGCCAGGTGTGACCCAAAAAGCAAACGAAACAAAACAAAACAAAACAAAAACCCTAGCACCTAGATGCAAGTTATGTACTGGTCTTGGAGATCTCCGTTCCTCTCTCTCACCCTGTTTATTTCACAAATAAAAAGGGGCAGCACAGTCGGGTACCATAGAAGAGTATGTCTTACCTACATTGTTCTGCAGGACGGCCTTTTCACCTTCGAGTTTTGTCTTGCCGTACAGATTTAGGGGACTGGGTATGTCTTCCTCTCTGTAAGGGGGGCTCGTTCCATCGAACACGTAATCTGAGCTGATGTAGATCAGAAAGGCTCCAATTGCAGCTACAGGGAAAAGGAAGAACATCAAACAGGAGAGAGTTACCATAGAACGTTACTCTTCACTGGCATTTTCAACAGCTTCATCGTCCACCACATGGTAAAATGTGGAGGAAAAAAAAAGAGAAGAAATAAAAAACCAATCTCTATTTATTCCATGGCTTTCACAGTTTATAAAGGTTTTTTCTTTTTATTTTCTTTTTGCTTTTTGGGTCACACCCAGCAATGCCCAGGGGCTACTCCTGGCTTTGCACTCAGGAATTACTCCTGGCAGTGCTCAGGGGAACCTACGGGATGCTGGGATTTGAACCCGGGTCGGCAGCATGCAAGACAAACGCCCCACCCGCTGTACTATTACTCCAGCCCCAGTTTACAAAGGTTTTTATGTGGTATTTAAAGACACAAAGCAGCAGGGGCTGGAGCAGGTCAGGTGCCTTGCATGTGGCAGACCTGAGTTCGAACTCCAGTATCCCAGAGGGTTTCCCAGGCCCACCAGCCAGGAGTGTTTCCCTGAGCAATGCCGAGTGTGGCTCCAAAACAAACAAAAAACATGAAAAAAACTGGAAAACCAACAATAAAGACACAAAGCAGCAAAAACATTAAAACCATTTCCAACTTCCGCAACAAACCTTTGGGCTCCGATCACAGAACAGACATTAGTGAGGAGGAAGGTGAAGTGGAACGAACAAGGCAATGAGGTCCCCAAAACCATGGAGAAGACCAGAACAGCACTCTTATTTTTTTGGGGGGTGGGGTGCCAACACTGTACCCCTGGCAACATGTAAGATATTTACAGTCCTGTAAACCAATGTGACCCCCCCCAAAAAAATTTCATTTCAAATTATCTTCTGTGGAGCCAGAGCAACAGGACAGTGGGTAGGGCATTTGCTTCACAAGTGGGTGAACCAGGTTCAATCCCTGGCATCTCACAGGGTCCCCCTGAGCACTGCCAGGAATAATTCTTAAGTGCAGAGCCAGAGCCAGGAGTCACTGCTGAGCACTACCAGGTATGGCCCCGAAATGCAGATAAATAATGAAATGATCTTCCATGAAGATTTTTATGAGCCCCTCATTACCTGCTTCCTTTGCTAAATTCCCAGAAGCATCCACGTTCAGCTGAGAAGCAGCATCTGGCTGGTTCTCCACAACATCTGGCCTCCTCTCTGCTGCGCAGTGTACTATGACATGGGGCTGGAAAGTAAGCAGTCGTGAGGTTTTTTTTTTTTTTTTTTAAGAAGCGGGCACATCACCTTTATTTTATTTTTTTTGCGGGGGTCACACCTGGCGAAGCACAGGGGTTACTCCTGGTTCTGCACTCAGGAATTACCCCTGGGGACCATATGGGATGCTGGGAATCGAACCCGGGCCGGCTGCATGCAAGGCAAATGCCCTCCCCACTGTGCTATCGCTCCAGCCCCGTGAGTTCTTTTTTAACCCCAGAAAGGAACGGAACAGAGAAAAGTCACAGCCGTCCAGAGGCAAATTCATTCCCACCACAAACATTCCTTAAACCAACCAAGTTCCTCCAACTGAAACATTGTCCTTCAACTAAAACACTCAAGTTCTTATAATCGGGAAGCTTTGTCATGCTTCTGTTTTCCTCCAAGGTTCAAGTTCCCGCAAAATAGGTTAGCAAGGCCCGAAAGATGGCGATCTGGTTATCACCAAGCAAAAACAGACAAAACCCTACTAGCAACCCTATTTCTAAGCCAAAATAAGCTCTGCCTCCCTGAGTTTGATGGACGAAAAGAAATTACCATTTCTGTAATTAATATCCTCAACATACTTATTTGATAAGTCTTTTTAAATATTTAGGGACGCATTCAAGGGAGGATGATCAGTTGTGGATTGCATGCCTAAGTGGAGATCTGGGCAAGCAATGAAGGAAGATGGGCCTGGAGAGAGGATGAGGGATGGGCCCATTCTAGGCACCACACGGTCCCCTGAGCTGGCCGCCTGAGCACCGAGAGGGTAACCTCCTTCCCAGGAAGAAAAAAAGAGTCGGCCATGCGTGGAAACAGTCAAGCCTTCTGCGTGCCATTTCTATATTTATCTCCTGCAATGATTTCATAATCTAGCACAGAAATTCCCAAACTTAATGTGGCCCAATGCCCCATTTTCGGGAGGGGGAAAAAATGTATGAAAAATCACTAGCCTTTTCCTCCCCCGCAAATCGTCCTTATGTCTATGCTAAAAGAAAAAGTGCCCCTGAATAACTGCACCTGAAAAGCCTCTCCCATTTCCCTGGCTCGACCCAGCAGCCCGCAAGGGTGTTATCCCCCCTTTAGGAAAACAATGATGCAGAAGCAAGGACCCAGACAGGCAGACTCTTGGGACCTAAGGTGCCAGATGTCACCAGCAGGACTCGAGGGCTGAGGGGAGACGACTCGCTCCCCAGCAGCTGGGGAGAGACAGGAGGAGGGAGTCCACACACCGCCCTGCCCGCTCCAGCTGGGCCTCAGAGCTGATGGCAGCCTGGGACCATGGCCACAGTGCGACAGTCCCAGGGGGATGCCAACGCTGATGTGCCTTGGACCGCATCTGCTGGGAAACGCTCCAACTCTTGATCCCACCCTAACCCAATCGGAAGCGGAGAAGCAATGACTAAAGGTTTCTACAATCGCAGCCAGCAAGTTACTTTGGAGTCTGCATGGCTCAGGAGATGGAGCTGGGGCTAAAGCGATAACACAGCAGTAGGGCATTTGCCTTGCACACAGCTGACCTGGGTTCAATTCCCAGCATCCCATATGGTCCCCTGAACACCGCCCTGAACACCACCAGGAATAATTCCTGAGTGCAGAGCCAGTAGGAACCCCTGTGCATTGCCGGGTGTGACCCAAAAAAGCAAAAAAAAAAAAAAAAGAGAGAGAGAGATAGTTGATACAGTGATACTGGGGGCCAGAGAGATAGCACAGCAGGGAAGATGCTTGCCTTGCATGTGGCTGACCTGGATTTGATCGCAGGCACCCCATGAGCCCACCAGAGTGATGTCTGAACACAGAGCCAAGAGTAAGTTCCAACAAACAAACTGAAATTTAAAAAATTGTTTTGGCCCCAACAAACAAAATTGGAAAAAAAAAAAATAGAAAGAGAAAATGGAGGTTATAGGAGCAATCTTGTGGCGTTGTAAGGTTTGCTGATAATATTTTTAAAGCACCGATGCAGAAAATGGTACTTAGCAAAATACTTCCTGAACTTTAGCTCTCTACAAAATGCTTGATTCCAGGCCTATGACCTTGGGGGTCGAGGACCAGCTAGCGGCTGTGAGCTGGATCCAGGTACCAACCGGCCCAAGCACAGGGAACAAGGCCAGCAGCACCGTCCCTGAGGTCCCAGAAGCTACAAATGTGACCGCCATCACACAGGAACAAGTATGCAAGAGCATCACTACGGTGCGTGCCCTCGGACATGACAAGAGCATGGAGGGGAAGAAAGGGAACCACTTCACTCGCATCTCGTCAACCTGACTCTTTTTCGAGAGATGCCAGCGTCAAATCCCAGGTCTCACAGGTTCTTGCACCTGTTAGAGAAACTCTAAGTGCCTTGAACCCAACTGGTTTCAGGATTGCATTTTCTCTGCTATGGTTTAAAAACAAATAAAAAAACAACCAAACTTGGGGCTGGAGCGATAGCACAGCGGGTAGGGCGTTAGCCTTGCCGCGGCCAAACCGGGTTCGATTCCCAGCATCCCATAGGGTCCCCTGAGCACCGCCAGGAGTGATCCTGAGTGCATGAACCAGGAGTAGCCCCTGTGCATTGCTGGGTGTGACCCAAAAAGCAAAAAAAAAAAAAAAACCCAACAAAAAAAGACCCAACCCACCAACCAAAAACTCAGTTTGTGCTTAAGCATCATAACTGCCTTGCAGGGACACACACACACGCACACACACACTTACTTCCTATAGCTTCCAGACAATTCGGAATTGGGGTGACAGCAGGTAGGATGTTTGCCTTGCAGGTGGTCAACCCAGGTTGATCCCTGGCATCCCATATGGTCCCCCAAGCACTGTCCTCCCATTGTTCATCAATTTGCTAGAGCGGGCACTAGTAAGTAACGTCTCCATTGTGAGACTCGTTACTGCTTTTGGCAGATCGAATATGCCACAGGGAGCTTGCCAGGCTTCAGGAGTAATTCCTGAATGCAGAACCAAGAATAACTCTGGAGCATCCCCCCTGGGTGGGACCCAAAAAGAGAGAGAGAAGAGTGAGAGCAGAATGACCCCTACCTGAAAATCATGAATGATGTGATGCACTGCCGCCGAGTCCAACAGATTCACCTGTTCAAATTTTGGTCTCGCCCTTCGGAAACCGCAGCCAACCGCATGCCAATTATTCTGCTGGAATTCTTTGTACACGGCTCTGCCAAGAAGCCCCGTGGCCCCGGTGATGAGAACCCGCCTGCTGGGGATGTTCACTTCCTCCTGAAAGGTGAAGGGAGGGGAAAGGACCATTTGTTTCCCAGACGGCTCTCCAAGAAATGACTCACCATCCCCGTTCATTTAAAGGAGAAGTCCGTGAGGTCTCAGCAGTTGGGTGATTCCCGTCCCACACCTCTAACTTAGAATCGAGATTATTCAAACAGCATCATCTTCACTGTCACTGTCCTCCTGTTGTTCATCCATCTTGCTTGAGCGGGCCCAGGGTGAGACTTGTTATTACTGTGTTTAGCATATCGAATACGTCAAGGGGAGCTTGCCCGGCTCTCCAAGAGGGGCAGAGGAATCCAACTCAGGTAGGCGGGCTTGGCCATGTGCAAGGCAAACGCCCTACCCGCTGTGCTATCGCTCCAACCCAGCATCAACTTAAAAAAAAAAAAAGTCTTCACAGAGCCAGAGAGCAAAAGCAATGAGTTTGATCTGCACACAGGAGCCCTGGATTCAAACACTGGCCCTGACCCCCAAGTACTGCAGGATGTGGATCCCTTCTAAGATGAACTTTCTGGTGAAGGGGTGCTCCCAAGCAGCACTGGGGTCCCACGTGGTACCAGCAACCTTACACAGAATTCTGTTAACATTTCCAATGTTGATAGAAATTTCTCATTTTGACAGATCAATGACATACAAAGGAGCAATAAACTCCAATTTACATTATTTTCTTTGCTTAATAAGAATGTACCGACCAAAATAAACAAGTGAAAAACAATAGCTTTAAAGCATAATTACATTAACAGCCCATTTAAGTATTTAAGCTATATTCACCAATGTTTAAAAACTGTCACTTCTGGTCTTTTAAGTTGTTTTTGTTGGTCCTTTTTAGGGGGTAAGGGAGTGAAGGGGCCCAATCCAGCAGGGCTCAAGGGCTACTCTCAGTTCAGTGCTCAAGGAAACCCACAGGACTGAGGGGATCACACCTGAGGTTATTTGAGGGGGAGGGGGGTTAGGGCCACACCCAGCGGTACACAGGGCTTACTCCTGGCTCTGCACCCGGGGATCACGCCTGAAGGGGCCACCTGGGGTGTCAGGAATTGAACCAGGGACTATATCGCTCCGGCCCCTCATCTACAGTTTAAATGACAATTTCTCTCTGCTACATCACGGAGCGATAGCACAGTGGTAGGACGTTTGCCTTGCATGCAGCCAGCCCAGCCGAGCCGGGTTCAATTCCTCCGCCCCTCTTGGAGAGCCTGAGAAGCTACCCGTGACGTATTCGATACGTCAAACACAGTAACAATTGTCACAATGGAGACGTTACTGGGCCCGCTTGAGCAAACCGATGAACAACAGGACGACAGTGATCACGTTAGATGACAGGTTCACATTAACAGACTCTCATTTCACAGCAAACTGTGCAAAGGGAAGATTAATGTCATGCTTTTGGCACCATTACTCTATGTCTGGCCAAACTAGTAAATAAATGTCAAAAGTAAACGAAAGACCAAAGAAAAGCAAGTAAAAATCTTTTAATCTGATCCCCGCTACCAGGAAGAACATTTCACTGAACCAGGAAGAACATTCCACCCACACTGCAACACTGCAATTCAAAGGGACTATTATTTCGGCAATAGTATTATGTTCCCAGGGCCCATTTTCTAATTTGGTATTCTTGGGGCAGGAATACAGCCCAAGTTTAGCATAAGGCTGTGGGCTAAACTCTCGGTAAACAAACACCACCACCAACAACCACCACCACCAACAACAAAAGAACACTCAAAATTTTCTTCTTCCCAAGAGAGTAACATCAAGTTTCTTTCCCCAGAGATTCTTGAAAAGAGTCATCATTTGCTTTAAATATGTACCCACAGCCAGTTTGAGCCCTTCTTTCGACTCAGCAGTTCTTAGCCCTGCATCCTAAACTGCAGAGAATAATTTTCTAAAATGGGCCCATCAAACCCAGCTATGTTTAGCAATGGAAAACTCTGAAATCAAAGGGCTGAAAGATAAGAGACATATCTCAAATATACTTTTTTCATTGTTTCGACCAATTCCAAGACACTTTAAAAACTAAAGGAAAATTATTCTATTGCTTTAGGATGCATAACTTGGCTGGAAGTCAACCGATCTAGGAAAAACAAAGAATTCAGCCAGGAAAATCGACTCCATGAATCCTGGCAAGAAACCAGCTCTATACAGGTTCAACTGTAAAGGCAAGAAAACAAGCAAAGGGGCTGAAACCATGTTTGCCTTGCACTCAGCAGACCCGAGTTCCACTCCCAGCATCCCATATGGCCTCTCCAGCACCTCCAGGAATAATTCCTGAGTGCAGAGCCAGGAGTAATCCCTGAGCATTGCTGGGTGTGACCTAAAGCGGAAAATAAAAACAAAAACAAAACAAAAAAAAAAAAACACAAGCAAAATCTAGTCAAGATACCACCAGCAAGCAATGCCCACAGGGTAAATACCATAGAGACGCCAGGTAGAAGTTCACCAAAGGCTGGGATTTGGTGTCTTCTGAGTTTCTTGTTTTTGCTGAAGGGCTAGAGCAGGCCATTGGGTCTCCCGTGGCCATGGGCCAAATCCCCTGCAGGTCTTTGAGATTCAGTAAGATTTCTGTCTAAGAGAACCCATCAGGCTACTGAGAGTCTCCTGCCCGCATAGATCCATGACTGGGAACACCTGTAAAAAGGTGTTTAGAGGCTGCCCCAAAAGCCTCCATCCCTCTCGGAAAGCCCAGCAAGCTACAGAGAGTATCCCGCCCACATGGCAGAGCCTGGCAAGCCATCCATGGCATACTCAATATGCCAAAAACAGTAACAATGATGGTCCTTATTCCCCTGACCCTGAAAGAGCCCCCAATATGCCATCGGGCTACACTAGCAGACAGGGATGAATGGAGACGTTACTGGTGCCCGCTCGAGCAAATCAATGAACAACGGGGTGATAGTGATTCTGTCTAACAAGGGTCCAGCTGGTGCTAAACTGACAAAGGTGAGCTTGCCAACTGTTTTGAGAACCATGATCCTGAACTCTGGCCGAGTTCCAGACTCCCCGGAGACAAATTTGTATTCGTTAAGCCCAAACAACTGCCATTTACCTTTCTCGAAGCAACATCATCTTTCTGTCGGAAAAGGTCAAAGCGGCACCGCCAGGATTCCCAAAGGACGCTAGTGAAATAAGACCTGGCTTTCAGCGTTCACCCTCACTCTATCTGCAACAATCCGAGCAAGTGAATCAGAGCAGCATCTTATAAAGATGCTGGTGATGAGAATGATTACTTTTGCTTTTCAGTGACTCTTAAGAGATCAGATGACCTTATAATTGAGAGATAAAATATCTCCAAAACCTGGAAGAAAAGTGCTTACAGCTGTCTGAAACTGTACAGAAGTGCTCACAGATCTCTGAAACTGCATTTCAAAGTTAAACAAGCAGGGGCTGGAGCACAGCGGGTAGGCCTTTTTTCCTTGCACACGGATGACCTGGGTTGATTCCCAGCATCCCATATGGTCCCCCGAGAACTGCCAGAGGTACGAAGCCAGGAATAACCCCTGTGCATCGCCAGGTGTGACCCAAAAAGCAAAATAAAAACAAAAACAAAAACCACAGCACTAATTAACAAAAGGTTCTCTACTCCAGAGAGAGAACACTTTATTTTTTTTTTTTGGGGGGGGGGGGGAGTTGGTGGGCCACACCCAGTGGTCTTCAAGGTTACACAGAATCATTCCTGGAGGTGCTCAGGGAGCCCTACGGGGAGCTGGGGATGGAACCCATGTCAGGAACATGCAAACAAGTGCCAGGCCCACTGGACTATCTTGCAGGCCCCTGTAAAGACACTTTTAATAAAAACAAGTAGGTTTGGTGGAGAAAATAACTTCTCAGAAGTCACTGTCAATATTCAGGGGTGGTATTTGAATGCTAGAAACCTCCATCATTAACAGTTTTGTAAATCATGGCGCCCCCAATAAAAATGGAATTTCTGTTTGCTAGACAGGGTAGACAGTTCTAGTAGAGTTCAAACCCCAGGATGACATGCCAACCCCTCAAATGCTGGGAGCCACTTAAGCACCACCTGGCCAGGCTGATATCCAGATGGGGCAGGTTCTATTGGCAGTCATTCCTAGGTCCCCTGAGACCCCCTCACCCAGAAAGGAGGGAAGGAAAGAAGAAAGGAAGGAAGGGAGGGAAAGAAAGAGGAAGAAAGGACAAAGAAAGAAAAAGAGAAAAAGAAAAAAGAGGAAGAAAGAAAAAGAGACAGAAAGAGGAAGAAAGAACAAGAAAGAAAGAGGAAGAAAGAAAAAGAAAGAAAGAGGAAGAGAGGAAGAAAGAGACAGAAAGAGGAAGAAAGAAAAAGAAAGAGGAAAAGAGAAGAAAAAGAAAGAGAAAAGAAAGGAAGGAAAGAAGGGAAAAAAGATGAAAGGAAGAAAGGAAAAGAAAGAAAAAAGAGGAAGAAAGAAAAAAGAGGAAGAAAAAATAAAGAGGAAGAAAGGAAAAGAGAAAAATGAGAAAGGAAGAAGAGAAAGAGGAAGAGAGGAAAAGAAAAAGAGGAAGAGGAAGAAAGAAAAAGAAAGGAAGAGGAAGAGAGGAAGAAAAAGAGAAAAGGAAGGAAGGAAGGAAGGAAAGGAAAGAAGGAAAGGAAAGAAGGGAGGGGGAAAAAGAAAGGAAGAAAGGAAGGAAGAAAGAAAAAGAATGAGAAAGAAAGAAAAAGGAAGAGAGGAAGAGAAAGAGGAAGAGAAAGACAAAAAGAAAGGAAGGAAGAAGGGAGAGAAAGACTAAAAAGGAGCAAGGACTTGAAGAGCAATCATTGCCTGGCAAATAGGAAGCTGCACAATGTAACACTATGAATTATAAAGGTTTTTTGCCAGTAGTCAAAATGGGAGAAAAAAAGGTTAGGACTAAAAATTAAGTTTGTCGTGTTTAACGGTCTAGTCAAATGAGTACTGGGATCTGTTTCCATCGATTTAACTTTTACAGTTTGGTGTCACCAAGACCGCTTTTTTCTGCTCCATCACCCACCACCACGGTACTGAGAAGTTACTCTAATCCTCTTTGGTCGAAGCAAACAGCATCGGGAGCTGGCTTGCTAGGTAGGGCTCTCCCAGCCTCGCCTCTGGGGCACTAACTTTGACCCTGATACCAGAAGGGCCAGACCACACCAGCTCCATTCAGAGTAAGGCATCTTCCCCGCAGAGCTCTCTCCCAATGAGCACTCCCATTTCCACAGTAAAAAAAAATTAAAAAGCACTACAGGTATATGATGGGCTGGGAAATGAAATAAACACCACTCTGAAATGAGTAGATGCTAAGAATTTCTTCCTGTTTTCGCCTCTGATGCCTGAGACCAAAGAAAACGATGAGCTTATTCATAGCTATAATCTATTTTAGAGTTTGTTTTTGTGTCAGACCCAGGGATACTCAGAGATCACTCCCGCCGGTGGTGCTATGGAGCTAGAGAATCTTAATGGGATGCCCATAATCTAACCCAGGTCCGCCACTTGCAAGGCAAGTTGCCTCACCTGCTGTACTATGGCTCCATCCCCAATTTTACAGTTCTATAAAGATGTAGAAATAGATCTCTACTTCAAGCTTTTTTATATTTTGGACTGTTACTCCAAGAACTACTTCTGCACCACCCGTAAAATGTCAACACATCCCAAGAACTCAGAATGAAAATTTAAAAACTGCCCACTTAACACAAACCAGTAAGTTAAAAATATTTGGTCTGATTACAAATGCACCTTTTAAAAAAAAATTTATAACCATCCTATGGGCAGTTTAAGTTACAAGTGAACAAGTTACAAGGCAATTAAGCCTGTTGCTGGTGTGCAGAAATCAGATTTCTTTTGTCTTCGACCACTCCCAGTGGCTCCCAAGCAAGGTAAGATCCTGCCCTCCTGGGGCAATCTCTTCCAGCAGGTTTTTTAAAGGGCTGGAGATCAGGTTAAAGGAGATCAGAAACATTCTTGCAAAATTAAAGGTCTCTTTAAAAATGGTGCAACACAGTAAACTTAGGCTCTCCTCTCTGTCTAGGGCACACAGGAACGTTACAGAAGTTTAAAGCCCTCCACCATCCCAACCTTACTCGCCGAGGCTGGAGAACAACGTTACGATTTTAACGCACGCGAATTTTGCATTATGAAAACCCGCCAAGCCCTTCCCTTCTTTAGGAGAGAGATTAGGGGTCTGAGCACTAAAGAAGTTCCCTCATCCCCGGGAACCCTAGATTCTGTGGATTAATAAAATAGCACTGAAGGCTGGAATAGAACCCCAGGGAAAGCAGGACGTGGAGAAGGAATGCACAGAAATAAGCTGCTTTTACGTAACCCCCTTAGGATGCAGAGCCGAGACACAGACGTAACAATTCCAATTCTAGCTCCAAGGATGAAATTGGGGGGGGGGGGGGGACCTAAGAGCTCCCGCCCTACGCCTCGATATTCGCATCTGCGAAACGGAGCCGAAAAAAAAAAACCCAAAAGAATCAATCGAGGAAAAACAACAACAACAACAACAACAACAACAACAACAAAATCATCCCCTTCTCCCAGGAGGTTAGGCAAGCAAAAATAATTAAGCACACCCACTGCATAACAATAGCTGGGACCTAGTGGGATCTTTATTCCCTTTGGCGGAGGAGGGGGTGCGGAGGTCCCCCTTTCTTTTCATAGTCAAAATCTTGTAAGATCGGAGGTGCCTTCCCACTGCCTCCAAGTTGTAAGATGCAAGGAACTGAATACCCAAGGAAGGAGAGGGCAGGAGCTTGAAAGAATCAGAACCGAAACTTGCAAGAAAATCCCACCCGGGGGTGGCTAGACAGAAGAGCGCCAAGAGAAACCGACTTGCCCGTTTTCTGATTCTTTTTCTTTCTTTTTTTTTTTTTTTCTTTTTTGCAAGCTTCAGCTGCAAAGCAGGAGGAAAAACACGGCGGGGCGCGCATGCAACGAGGTAAACAAACTGGGAGGTGCCGCCCAGCCCCGGCTCCCCAGCTCCCCAGCTCCGGGGCCAAAGGGGGTGCAGGTGCCCCGCACCAGGGGGCTGGAAAATCCGTGCGTCCCCCCGCCCCCTGCACGCCCCCAGAGCCCGACGCCCACCACCCCGACCCCGGGGCCGCCTCACCTCCACCAGGTGGCAGTCGCCGGGGACGAAGTGGATGGAGAGCTCCTTCTCCCGCCCCACCATCCCCGCCGTCTTCGCGCCGCCGGCCACCGCGGGCCGCCTGCTCGGGCTCAAGCTCCGGCTCCTGCTCCCGCTCCTCCTAACCCCTCCTCCTCCGCCTCCTCCTCTGGCGCCGGGATGCAGGCCCGCCTCCCCTAGCTCCCCGGTCGGCCCGCCCACCCGGCCGCCGCCGCTTCCGGCTTCCGCTCAGAGCGCGCGCGCTGATTGGCCACGCCGGCGGACGCCCCGGGAAAAGGGGCGGGCCACGCAGTGGGAGCGGGGGCCGGGGGCGGGGGTGAGGGACGCTCCCGGGCCCACGCGCCGGCTCTTAAAGGGATACGACGCACAAAGGGCGGCCCCGAGCGCCGGGAAAAACAAGCTTTTTTTTTTTTTTGGGGGGTGGGTGCAGGAAGATGGGGCAGGAGGTGAGGCGAGTGGGCTAGTGGAGATGACACGGAGGATATAGTGGAACAGGCCTGGAAGTTTGCAGGGGACGCGCATGCAATGCTTAAGAGCCCAGGCTGAAGTGATAGGAAAAAAGGAAAAGGAGATTTTAAAGAGATGGGTTGGCGTGACAGGAGGGAGGAAAACACTGTGGGCTTGTGTTTCTGGAGCAACAGAAACGTTTATTTCTAACTTCAATTATTTTATAATTCAATTATTTTATAATTATATGCCGACATAATTATTTTATAATGGTGTTGGCGTATAATTAAATATTATTCGTTAATTATTCAGTTATTTATAATTATTTTATAATTGTGTTGGCGTATAATTAAATATTATTCAGTAATTATTCAGTTATTTCTATTGCCTTTTTGTTTAACAAAACAAGTTATAAAAATAAAAATGTTGGATTGAGTCATCAAGAGCCCAAGAATCCGTTTAGTCTCTCAGGGATGCTATAAAAAGGAAGACGTGTGAAAATCCCAAAGATGTCAAACTATTTTTATAACTGGTATATATATACACACATATATGTGCAAAAATATATGCACATATGTCTATACAGTTTTTAAGGTTGCAGAAAGAGGGCAGAAAAGGTGAATTATTGGGGGGATGCGGAGGGGGACCTCTTAAGAACTTTGATTCTCAGTCTTGACTCTTGACTACAGACTGAGAATCTGGAAATAAGACCTGGGTGGTCTCCCCAATGCAGGGAGTGGTCGAGATCGAAGGACAGGGAATAAGCCTTTGAGAGCTGCAGCAAGACTGGCAGCCCTGGGGAACCCCAGCAAGGCTTGGCCAACGCCCGGGTTTTCTTTTTCAAAGTTAAAGAGAAAAACAACAGTCCAGAGGAAGCAGACTCCGGCCAGCCTGCGAGGCATCCCTCTGGGGTTCCAAAGCACCAAATCTGCTCCAGCCAGGGCTGGGACAGGCATGCAGAAAAAAAAAAAAAAAAAAAAAGCAACAGTTTGCCAGCAATCTCGAAAAAAGAAAAACAAAAACGGTTTTTCCAGACCCCTAGTTATCTCCACCAGAAAGTCGTCCCAACCCTGACCACGGGTTGAATTCTTTTGAGTCCTTTTTTTCCCCCCTTTTTCCTTTTTTGTGCCTTGGAGCAATAAGATAAGCAGGCTTTAAAAATAAAGTTTTTCTTAAGCCGGTCCTATGACTGCCTTAAGTAACCCCTCCCTACTCGCTTGCTTTTTGTATGCAAACAAAGTTTTCTTAGAACTAAAAAAGGAAGTGAACCTATAGCTCCTGAGGTCAAAGGGGTTTTTTTTTTTGTTTGTTTGTTTTGTTTTCGCCATTTGGGTAGAATCCACGTCCTAACATACAGTACCTCAGTTTAGCATATTTAGAGAACCACAAATAGGATTATTTTTGCAGGAAATGAGCAAGAACCAGCGGTCAACAAAGAAAGCGAGAGAGGGCCAGGGTAAATGAAGCAGATACCACATCCTTCCAAGCCAAACCCTGAATTTCTTCACAGCCTGGCCTTAATTGGATCTCCCCTTACACAGAGGGGAAAAATAAGAGTTCCACGCAAGGATCTTTTAAGCACCGGCACAAAGAGCATCTGGATTCTCACAGCAGCCCAAAGGAGGCAACCATTGGAGGCTGCATTGGTTAAAAAAAAAAGGGGGGGGGGCGGTGGGGAGAAAAAAAAATTACCAAAATCGGGTTGCCAGGTAAAACTTGGGTCTATCTCTAGGAGCATAACGCTCGTGCATTGTTTTTTTAAAATCATTTTCTATATAAAGCCAGGACGTTTCTGTGTGAAAAGAAATCAGACAATATCCAAATGCAGGTGGTAGCAAAATCGCAACTGAAACAGAACAGCCTGGAGAGAGAGAAGTTAAGGGGGCAGATTTCTGCTAGGTCAGACAAGCTGGGTGAGTTAAAACACACACACACACACACACACACACACACACACACCTAAAATGCAAATTCCTTTTTTTTTTAATAGAACTTTCACCCTCATTATTGCAATTAATCCGATAAGGGGAAATGCTCTTCTGGTTCCATATAAAAAATAATATACATATATATATATATTTTTTTGTCAATTAACCAACATTAGCTGAGCTCTCCATAACCTGGCACCCAGGGCCAATTATTAAAGTTTGCTTTCTCTTGAAAGAACTAAATGTTTTAAACAAAGAAATGAGAAGCCCCCCCTCCCTTTTCAAAACATACACACACACACACACACACACACACACACACACACACACACAAAACACACGTTCTTAGCTTTTCCCAGCTTCTAAGATGCCTTGAAAGCAAGCCCAAGTGCAGAAATGCTTCACTTCCTAAATCGCCTCGCTCTTCCTTACCTGTTCCATGTCCTCTGGCATTTCGGGCATGATTCCAGAATCCTCCAAGGGAAACCGAGTCACACACAGCAGGCAGGTCTCGGCCGGGCTGCCCCCCACCCACACACCCACCCACGCACCCACCCACCCAGCTGGCCTTTCTTTGTTCGGCTGGCAGAGTGCAGGGCTGCAGAAAAACGTGAGCTGCGGCTTCACCCCACCTTTGAAATTAGCATTTGGATTCCAGCCCCAGAATCTCAGGCCAGCTCCCACATGGCAGTAAACTGGCAGCTGATTCCCCGTGGCCGTGGCGGAAGGGTCCAATGAGAAGTGTCATGTTTAATTGCCCGCCAAATGAGGGCCCGTTAGGCAAACTATTAGGGAAACCCACTCGGAAAAGGAAGCGAACCGGATCCTGCAGAGGCTTATGACAAGTTCCTCTTGCAGGACAAAAGCCAGAGGCAGCGGGGGTGCTTACGCCACTGATTCCTGCTTGGAAGTGTCCTATTAACACGGGTGGCGGACAGTGGGCAACTTGGTGGAGGGGACAGTGTCGGGAAGTTGTATGAAAAGCCATCGTGAACAATCTTGTGACTGTGTATCTCAAGGTGATTCAAAAATAAAAGAGAAAAAAAAGGGAATAAAAGTCTTATTATTAGCTGTGCATTATGACAGCAGATTATAATAAACCCCAGAGTTCTTTCCCCTTTCTAGTTAGTCATTTCAAAGAGCAATAAAAAGGCATCCTGGAGCTAGAGTACAGCGGGTTGGACTTTTGCCTTGCCCACAGCCGACCTGGGTTTGATCCCTGGCATCCCGTATGGTTCCCAGAGCACTGCCAGGAGTGACCCTTGAGCACTGCCAGGTGTGCCCCCCAAAGCAACAACAATAACAACAACACAGAGTCATAAAAGGACGGGCAGTCACAGCATATAGAAATTAAAACCCATCAGGTCCTTTCCTCTGGCATTGTGCTGGCCTCTGACACTAATCCCCTTAAGCATTAAGCATCAGTGGTTCCCAAACGTTCCAATACTAGGGCAGCTATTAAGTTCTTTCTGTAGACTGAAGGCAGGTACCATCCACCACTCCACTTTTTACAACTCCAAGGGAGGTTTATACATTCAAGTTAAATTTCAACCGCTATTCTAGATTATGGATCTGTAACGACTGCAGAAGAACAACAAAACTGCCATTTATATCTCTTTTGCAAAATCACTGCACATGGTGAATGTTGGACGTATGCATGTAAGAAATGAAAACTACACAGCTGACTCCTGGCTCAGGAGGTCACTCAGGGATCACTTCTGGTGGGCTCCAGAGACCACATGGGTGCCAGGGATTGAACCCAGTTCAGCTGCATGCACAGCAAGCACCCTCCCTACTGTACTGCTCTGGCCTGGACACTATTTTTTTTTTGGTTTTGTGCCACACCCAGCTGTGCTCAGGAATTACTCCAGGCGATGCTCAGGGGACCGGGGACCGCATGGGATGCTGGGAATCCCAACCTGGGTCAGCCACATGACGAGCAATGGCTCCATCCCTACCACACAGCTTTTTCTTTTTTTTTTTTTTAATTAATTTTATTGAATCACCGTGAGATAGTTACAAGCTTCCATGTTTGGGTTACAATCACACAATGATCAAATACCCAACCCTCCACCAGTGTATATTCCCCACCACCAATATCTCCGGTATAACCCCCCTTTCCCACCCTCCCTCTGCCTCCATGGTAGACATGATTCCCCATAATCTCTCTCTACTTTTGGACATTATGGTTTGCAATACAGATCCTCAGAGGTTTGACCCTCATGTTTGGTCCTTTATCTACTTTCTTCACACATCTCCCATCCCGACAGATTCCTCCAGCCATCTTTTTTTTTTTTTAGCGATCCCTTTTCTATTCCAATTGTCTTCTCTCCTTTGCTCATGAGGCAGGCTTCCAGCTATGGAGCAATCTATCTGTCCCATATATCTACTGTCCTATGTTGTTTTATACTCCACAAATTAGTGCAGTCCTTCTATGACTATCCCTCTCTTTCTGACTCATTTCACTTAACATGATACTCTCCACGTCTATCCATTTATAAACAAAGTTCATGACTTCATCTCTCCTAACAGCTGCACAGTATTCCATTGTGTAGATGTACCAAAGTTTCTTTAACCAGTCATCTGTTCTAGGGCACTTGGGTTGTTTCCAGATGTTGGCTATTGTGAACAGTGCTGCAATGAACATATAGATACAGATGTCATTTCTACTGTGCTTTTTTGCATCCTCGGGATATATTCCCAGTAATGGTATTGCGGGGTCATATGGAAGCTCAATTTCTAGTTTTTGAA